TCGGGAGCCACTTCCAAGAAGTGTTTGAGTCCCTGCTCATCCCCACTCTGGAATTCCTGGGATTTTCCATCTCTGGGAATGAAGATTTTGCTCCAAATCTGGGATTTTTTTGGGAATTTTGCTGCTTCCCCCTCTCCAGGATCCACGGGGGAGTCAGGGCTGAACCTCCCCCAGGCATTTTTTGGGGTTTTTTTTCCCCAATCCCAAAAAATCCTGGAAAATCCTATTTGAGTGTTCAGCAACTCTGGCAAAAATGGGGATTTCTCCCATGGAATGTGAGCAGGGAGGGAGTGAAGGTGTTTTTAGTGTGTTTAAAGGAGTTTTTTTCTGAAATATTTTGATTTTTTTTTTTTTAATTGCATGTCAATGATCAGCCTGGCTGGGCTGGGGGTGGAATGAATCCAAAATCCCCCTTTGGATCCAAAAATCCAGGATTTGGGCAGGGAGAAGCCCCTGGAGCCACCTCAAAATCCCAGCTGGGGGAAACCAGAGGGAATTTTTTAAAAATCCAAAATGGATTTAAATCCAATTTTTGGCTCCTGGGGGATGAGGAGCCCCCCTGGAACGTTGGGGAGACGGAAAAAATCATGGAAAAAAAGTGATTTTTTTTGGTCGAGGCTCCATGGAATTCATGTGGTTCGTGTCACTCGTGAGGAATAAAAACCATTTGGACACTTTGGTTGTTATCCCTGCGTGCTCAGGTGATTTTCCAGAACTTTCTGTGGGCTCAGGGTCTGTTTGGGGGCACATTTTATTCCCATTTTCCCCAATTTTTTTGTCCTTCCCAGCAGGAATTCTCCTCCTGTGCATTCCTACAGCACAAAAATTAGAAAACTTTTGTTTTTCCCTCCACTTCTCCTTCCCTAAATTGCTTTTAATTTCTCTCCACCTGCTTTTTTTTTTTTGTAGCCCTACCAAAGGAATTTCAGGCTGGAAATGAAAATATTCTGAAATTACCCAAAAATATGGAAACCATGGCACTGCTTTCCTGCTGTTTTCAGCTCATTTTGTGCTGTTTCCCTCCTGGCTCTTTCCTGATCCGTTT